GAGGTCGGGTGTGTCCTCTGCCACTGTGAATACGGAACTCCCTATAGCCTCAAGAGCCTGTTTGTGTACCCTTATCCAAGCGTCTCCGAGTATCGCGTCTCGACGAGCTTTCGCCCGCTGTGTTCAAGCGCCGCCCTCAAGTTCTCAATCACTATCTGTGTAGCTAGAGTCTCTCTGGAAAAATGACCATTCCAGACAGCTAGGGTAAAGCGGCAATAGTACCAATCCAGGTTGCCCAAGCCTAGACAGGAGAAGTAGAGATGCACAGGTCAGATTCAAACCATGGTCTGCCAATTTGCGCTCTAACCACTGAGTCATCTCGCCCCAGGTGTACACTTAATTCGTCCCTCGTAAATACTTTTCTTTCCTTTTCGTATTCCATTACTTTAGTTAGCGATTTCACGGTATGTTTTTGGAAAGTATACTGAAAATTCACTCAATTGAAAGTGGTGAAGTAGTCGATCAGGATGGGGAACAAGAAGTGTTGTTGACCAGACAAACTAAACAAACATACGAAGAGTGAACAAGCATTTGAGCAGGCGGAAATTGAACGAAAACGAAACACGGTGCTAAAAATCCCAAGCTTTGGGGCGGGGAGGGGGCGCGCACCTATCCGGTAATTGTAAAAAAACGCTCACTTTGAAATGGAAAACAGCACCAAATGTATCACCACAAATGGGATGCAGGCAAAAATACAATCTACAAAAAGCGCACTGCTTGTTCACACGCAGATAAGCATTGTGGTGACAATTCACAAAAGGACAAACGTCAGGGAGCAGGAGTTCGGAACAGGGAAGAACGATGTCAAACTATGGGTTCAAGGAGGGCATATGGGGCGAAAACTGGAAGGCTGATGTGAGCACCAAGAGCTTTGAGCTATCTGAATAGTGTTCACGTCCATGCTGTGCCTGCTTCGTGCGGCTTGCATTGACTCTTTGGCCAATACCCTCGATCCAGCTAACCGCCTGCTAGCCTCTATTTAAGGAATAAATCAGTTACAGGAATGTTTTTCTAGTCAGACTGCCCACGGGTAGTGGTCGGCGTTTGATGGCTACAGGAATGTTTTTCTAGTCAGACTGCCCGGCGTTTGATGGGACCCAATGTTAGCTCTCGTGAATGACTCCGCAAGAGGCCACGTTGCTGCATGTCGGCTACGAAAGCATCGGACAACATCTTCAAAGTGAAGGGCCGTTGCCGAGATGGTCTGGGGTCTAAGGTCCGTCTGCAGAACGATGGTACTGTTCTCATAGTACAACATATCAATACCACCGTATATGTTTAGATACACACAAGGCGGAGAAACACTCGCGCCAAACTTCCGGAATTCGACGAAAGCACTGGTCGCCTAAAACCTCCAGTTTCAGGACCTATGACAGGTGGGGATCTATGAAACAAAACCAACTGATTCGAGGAAATTAATGACTCCCTGAAATCGAAACAAGAGCTGCAGATCCATGGCGGCAACAACGATTTGTCGCGGCTTCAGACAGACTCAAGAAAAAGGCGAAAAACATACCAACCGCTACTGAGCTGTTTATAGAGTGGACAGTGAAGCAGTGAGTAGAAAGGCAACAGGTGCGAATAACAGGCAAATCGTTTTCGCAAATCAGACTATGCCAATTGATTTTTTTGTCTCGGTACTGTAATCGGTGTCAGCGGACAGATCGCGCAGCGAAAAATATGAAAAAGCTACACTACAATCAAATGGATACTATCCACAAAACGGCATCACAGCAAACTGGGGCTGACTTTGAAATGCGGCAAAAACATATTTGTGTAGGGCTGATCGTATCGGAGTCAGCCCCACCTCACCACTACTCACTTTGTTATTTTATCCTGCTGGATGGAAGAGAAAAGGTAGNAGGAGGGGATGGTGTATAGAAATTGGCGACAACAAAAACGAGAGGGAAAAATCGTCCACAGAAAGTTCAAGTCTACATAGAAACGATAGAGATGAAGACTGAAACCAAAGACATTCATCCGAACAAACGACACTCCGTTCAAAAGCGGAAGAGGCAGCAGGCCTCTAATAAAAAGCACCTCTTGTCGAAAAGAACATTATGCAACTCAGCTCCAATGACCTTTTGTTCACTCTGTAAATCACAGCTCCAAGCAAAATGATCCCACATACAGTGAAGATGACGATCAATGACCGTTCAGATGTAACAGTCTTTCGGTAACCAGCTGTCGCGCCATCCGAAGGAAGTACGAAGGGTGAGATACTGCCAGGAGCAGTCGAGCTGTCGAACCACGAACCTTTCGGTCAGCAAGTTCGTGACTAATCCGCAGAGCTGTTTTAACTCCGAGGATCTGACCGGAATATGAATCCGGTTGCCTTCTCACTTAAAGGTCATCAAATAAGTTGCGTCGTATAAGGCTGTCTCAGCATAATTTCTATCGACTGTTGTGACGCGCATCGGATGAGGACAGATCACGGTGCGATTTCTGTTGCTAGCCCAGAACATAATCGCTCGGGGGTGGTCAAGGCTCAATGGTGGTAGAGGAAAAAGTCGGAGAGGCTCATGGCTAACCTACGCCCTGATCATTTCCTCAAAAGCTTGGTAATGGAAATTCGCATCAGTACGAGCTAGGTTCCAGTGACAGGCCGTGCTGAGCATCGCTCACCGCCAGGTAGTCCAGACTCAATAAAAAGCCGATTAGGAGACAGGGTGGCGTTTCCTATCGGCCACAACCTCTGCTGTGCTTTCTCTCTCTCTCAAGGACAGGCAATCTACTTAAGTGGACAGTTGAAACGAGTAGTATTTCGCACCCTATAACCAAGAGGCGACTCGCCGAAGTGGAAAAAACAGCTTTCCTCAAGGTACTTGTCAAGCAGGAATAAGGATGAGTGGTGGTTGTTTCTTTGGGATAAGTGGACGGACCAACATAGTTAAAGGACTCAGTGGAAATTCGCGTCGCTCACTTCGGAGGCCAACCTATCTGATCGGGGACAGACCAACTGCAGTAGGAAGGGATTATGATGCAGTGAATGGCTTTTGCCCCACTAGTGCTTGGTTGGGTAGTAAGTGTTGAAAACCAGGACTGTTAGAAGTCATAACTTTGTTGATAGGTGAGCTGAAGAGTCCTCCGTTTGGGTTTCACAGACGTTTCTGCATGATGATCAATTGAGTATATGGGTTTTGTGCCATAGAGTTCTGGATCTTTTTATTGGTGTAGACTCAGCTGTATACCAAGGGAGGATTCACGCATTGGGCGTTTATACGAACATCCAAACATTAGGGATTTATTCCACAGGCCAGGATTGAACAGTACTTTTGTTTCGGGTTGATTTTCCGTGAAAACTGTTGAACAACCGATATTAGTACTAATGACGCCTCACCGAGTTGTGTTTCACAGGATGTAGTGTGGATGAAATTAGAATACAGCAAGGTGTTTTGTGTTGAGGGCATGTCGTTGGTGTATGTTTTTTTCACGAAAGCGAGGTTCTAAGGTGTTGGACTACGAAGTCCTGTACATAATTATTCGGTCGCACAAACACGAAGATGTGCGCTGACGACAAGTGTCCGCCATCACATGTGATGAATTTCAACTCCTCGTACCGCAGAACCCTCAGACATACTGAAGAAATCTTGACTTATCATCGAAATGCGATGGATTAAGCTTCGCAGGTCTGATAAGTTACTCTTCATTTTGTACACTTTCCTGTCCTTCTTTTACCATCCGCAAATTAGGTTAGAGAGCAATCGATACAGGACCAACGCATGACAGCCATACCAATTAGCTGATACCCGGTTTAGAGAGTCCAGAACGGTTACACAGTTCAAACAGCAAATCGTATGGGTAACAGATTTGGAGTTCATCAAACTGAAAATCCGTTACTGTGTGGTTGCACCAACGCGTACTTTCTAGGGGCCTCTTCAGCTGTCAGCACATCACCTGATTGGGTGCATGCATTTCGCCTCAGTCATCGGACAACTGTAACGTCCATAGGAACAGGCCTCTCTCATATGTGTGGACATGGTAATTGCTGAAATTATTAGCAGGGACAGTTCACGTAATGCGATCGGCGGTTACTCAGAGAACGCCGCAGATGTTGTTCAAAGAGGTTCAGTGGGGTGCTGTGGAGGAGGTTAGAGAGATTTGACGGAGTGAATAGTAGTCGCCGTCCAGCTGCGATAGCCTTTCAGCGTATAGCTACCTTTCGATTCAGTGGAAGCATGTAGGCTGAGATGCTGCCAGGTTTTCCAAGCCCAAACAAGAGCAATCTGAATGCGAGCGCTGAGTTCCGACCATGCATCTTAAGAGCTATGTCGAGCTGAGTGAAGGCGTTAGTATATATAACAGCGACATGTACATGTGGACAGTCAATTGTCCGGTTGATGCGGTATAACTGCAACATAAATGCGGTTTCCCCGTGGTTTTACACCAGTTAGCGATGAAATAAACAATACCCGAAGCGTTGCTTGTCCAGTCATCACCATCATCATCGACAGCATGACATCAGTGTTCAATACCGATGCTTCACTGGCACACAACCATGATTTATTTGAAAGCCGTATGGTAAAGAAAAGAGTAAAGCTGGACGGGGGAGGGACTTAGTGCTAGCTTACCACAATCATCCCGAGGTGTCTACACCTCCAGACACTCACTCAGGCGATCTGGATGAAAACTGACAACAAGAACGCCACTGACATCGGCTGGCAGTCATATCTTGTAATGTCTCTAAAGAGGCACAGTGAGGAACACGCGGTCCCCATCCTGGAAGGCGGTGGATAAAATGTATCTAACAGCTGGCCAGCATGAGCCGAGTGACATCAGTAGAACCACTGATTACTCATGCATGGTCAGTCGAGAAGGTCGGCCCGAGTCAGATGTGGTGTGAATCAGGAAGCCAAATGGGTGGGCAATGATGTAAAATAAGCAATATATTCGGCACGCTGTACCTCATCCAAACCTGCGTTGTCATGTGATACAAAAGGGCAGCGCGGAAAAGAGATGTAAGAATAAGAGGGTACGCTGTATAAATGTTGGGTGCTCACCTGTTCTGGAGTCCCAGAAGGATCATTTTTCGCATTCTGCACCTGCACTTGTAACGACCGCTCCATTTTACACGCCTGATGGTACTCTTTCTTGCCGTTATAAACTTTCCTTAGTCGTTTGGCCCACGGCTTCTGAGCTTGTTCGAAATCCTGCTCAAATAGTTTCGCCTCCTTCAGGCCATGTGGAGGAAGGGGAGTTTTGTGGAAATGCTCTTTTTGCCAGTGCTTGAGTCCGGTGAGAAGTTCGTCGATGAGCTGGGTTTGTACACTCTGTATGGATGGTGGAACGCAGAGAATAATACAGAATAAGTGAGAAAGGTAACAGTACGCTAGCGTATGGACCCAACATAGCAACAGTTCAAAGTAAAAAAGGAACTGTCCAGTTGAACGGCGCGGACCATTGCATTCGACCGTGAGCAAGCAAATTGAATACATGGGTTCGTCTCAATCAGAAACCATGAGAAAATGTCGATTAGCCTTCGAACCCAACTGAGAATATCCGTTAGTAACAATGAAAAAGTTAAAGCACAGCTAAAGGATAGAAACATAGCACAATAAATCAAATAAATCAACAAATACGTGTACTATTTCCCATATTAGACGTCAAATCGGACGACAGGTGTAAAGTACCAGATTAAACTGAGCAAGTAGTCCGATCGGCATATGCTGTGTCTTCGAATGAGATCTTGCATGCACGATATAGCGAATCGCTCACACCGCACTCTTTGACTATCAAGTAATTCTCGGTTCAGCTGTTTTTCGACCATAAGCCGTATACGTTAGTTCGGGTTGCCATATTCAAGAGAACGAAGGAAATTATTTGGAATTCAAAGAGAGCATCATGTGAGATTCGACGGTCTTGCTGAAATTCACAATCTTCAGCGCACCGAAGATGTCTCCTCGAATGGTAAGGAAACGTTTGTAAATCAATTAACAAGCTAAGCGAACAGATCAACAGGCACCTGATCAATTGACAACTGATCCCACTGTGACTATGACACTCCTTACGAGCCTATTTTTGAAAATGGACACTATCACAGACTCTCCGCAGTTTGCTGGGAACAGAACAGACAAGCTCTGAGTGAGGATTTCAACCCCGTCTATGAAAAATGCGGGTGAGAGGTCGTCAAGACCGGAAGCTCATTGGCACTTGAGAGAACATATGCAGTCATAAACCTCCGAGTGTGAAGTGGATTCCAGGTTCACAGCATAAGGTTCTGTGGCAGCTGGTGTTCGAAATATGCGACCTGTCACGAAGAGACTGGACCTTACCGTGGTGTGGCGGTTTGTGTACCTCGGCGACCCATTGAGCTATACTGGGGGGTGTCCGCGCGACACTCACAGAGTCTCTCATACCAGGTTGGTCAATGGTTAGAGGTCTGACGAACACAGTCTCCTGGCCTTCCAGGTTGGGGGATGGAACATGTATGGCAACTTGTTCCGAAAAGGTAATGCATTTGCATTTCCCCGCCAAACACCGCCGCCTTGCGGTTAGGCTTTTGAGTCAAAGACTTTGGTTGAGGACCCTAATCGTCCTCCTGTCTAGGTGTGGGCGCCCTGGCAGTATTCCAGCCCTCGTACAACTATGACCTACACAACTAACAATATTCTCATGCCACATCGGCCGTCGCGTGGTGCCATCAGCCGGG